GTTCATACAGACGGCATCCGCGGCATCCGTGGCCTCTGCGGAATTTTCAGAGCAAGCAAAGTATACGTATCGATTTGGAAATTCCGCAGAGGCCGCGGAGGCCGTGGCCTCCGCAGCCTCCGCGGAGGCCGCGGCCTCTGCGGCCAAGCGCGAAGCGTACGCGTCGCGGTTGTTAAACAAGCAGTTGTGTCATTGAGAGTATTTTACCGAGGAGACAACAAAAATAATTTCCTGGAAAAAAGGTAAGTTTTGGATGAATAGAACTGAAGCTCCACAAGTAGATTGCTAACGTGATAAGGTAACTTTCGACAATAGCAGATCTGTCCAGTCCAGTTTATCACCTCTGGCGCGAAAATATTTCTTTTTTTGCGACCTTGTTCCCACGTTCCACGTGTATCTGGGTAGTATTCCACGAAAATTAAGGGCTTATCTTGAAGATAAAAAGGAACAGCAAAGCCTTACTAACTTCTGCATTGAAAACTAGTCCTTCTTCAAGTGTTTTGGTGCAAAAACGCCCTAGCATTTATGCGCACTCTTCGAAAATAGGCAAAAACTGCTTCTTCCCACGCGGCAGGCACGCATGGCGCCTTGTCGCCAATGTGTTAAAAAGGGACACCCGCCAAGGGCGAAATTTTGCTGCAGTTGAGTTCCCATTTGTTGAGACCAGTTGAACCAGATCAGCTGAAACCCATTTTTCAAGGTATTGATTGCGTTCGAGCGTCCCCATCAAGAGGCCGCGACGCATACGCTTCGCGCCTGGCCGCGGAGGCCGCGGAGGCCGCGGCCGCCGCGGAGGCCACGGATGCCGCGGATGCCGTCTGTATGAACGCGGCCTAAAGATGTTTGTCAGTGAGGAATGATAAGGGCCACCAGCAGACGGACTTAAAGTGCTCCAGCGAAAACGCTAGAAATAAGTAGGTAACAAAGACTTGGATAATGTTACCACCGAACTTCTTTCAACCGCTAAGTTGCCCTATTTCCATCAAATGGTGGGTGTTTTTAGAAACGTGATAAGCATCAGACATTGGCAAATGTTCATTAAAAAGGTGAAATATGTGCAGTAAGCCGTACTTTGAGACAATGGACAACGCAAGTTTTAGTGGTTCAGCACAGAAATCCTATCGCTAATCAGCACCATGCCTGGAGCGACAGTAGTGTGCGTCAGGCAAACTGTATAAATAAATAACAATCTGGCAGTCTATCAGAGAAACTGAGAACTGTTCTCGTTTGTATCACAACATAAGCATCCATCTTCATCAACCTCAGGAACGTTGCGTTTTTGGAGCAACTGGGGCTGTATAATTTTAGCGGCAAACCATGCTCGACGTGTCAAACTTTCGATGTTACTGCATGTGCATGACTGTTAATGAAAGAGGTGCTATAGAGGCTCGCATACGTCTTTTTCGTCTACACCATTAGCGATATTCAGGCATTTCATCCGATGTAACGATGCTCTCATTTGTGCGGCCATGGAAAAGCGATTAGCTACTTTACCACACCCATGGTGTTTATGGATTACCAGAAATCTAGTCATCGCCAGGCAAGTAGGAGGGCTGTATACCGACACGGCCGCACTGGGGTCGAATAGCGCAAATTCCGACATGTTACGATCGGCGCGCTCGCGATGGTTTTGTTTTGCGACAATGATATCGCTCGTATTTTTTTCCAGGACTGCCATCAACAATGCGATAAGAGACGGTCCCGAACGTATGTTGTCTAGTGAGCGTTCCGACATTAAATAATTAGGGATTAGGAGGTAAAGCGATTAATTGACTCGTGAGCAGAATCTGTATAGGCGTGCTCTATGCGGATGTGAGATTGCTTAGCCGAGCTTGCTAGCATAACTCTAGTTATGACAATAGAACAAACGTAACGTGCACGAATATCCAGGCCTAATGAGAGTGAAGCGAGCTGAAAAATTGAAGGCGAAACGAACTAGTTCGCACGGCACTGAGTTTATCGGCCGAGCGGTGGCATCCTTTCCGAGCATGCGGTGTTTGCAGATTGCCGCGCACGCGACTCGGGCGGTCATAAAGACGGTCTTCTGGAATACTGTATCTCAAACGATACATTGACGATATTTTTATCGTCGGAAAAACACGAGCGGTGATTTTTTTTCCGCACTGGAGTTTGTCTCACCACGCGATACTGACACCATCACCAGAGGTTTTCTACCATTTTGACGAAAATCAAAATCTCAGACGCCCTAATTAGCACAGTGTCCTTTGAGGAGAGGGTATATTATAGCATTCTCATTCACGCTCGGTGTTGCCATACATTCTAAATGAGCTGCAGGTCGTTCAGACATTATCTCGGCATCATACAAATGAACTTCCGCAAACACAGAAGAAATGACGACCGAAGTTGATAAAATTTCGGCAAATGTATATGGAAGAAGTCAATGTTGAACTTATCTCTTCTACGACTTGTCGGTCACTTCTCGCTTCTTTCTTTGTCGTCGCTTCTCGCACCTCTTGACGTTGCCGTTATCACCAATTTGTTTGCATGGCGCCGCCAAGACTCCCAGTCAACCTGGTCATTCAACTATCTTCCTCATTTTAACAAAATCGTGTCTATATGAAGATCGATGGGGAGGGAGAAATGTAAAATCAGTGTGAACAGCATGTGCGCCAGATGAGCTGTGTGGTCCACAAAGTAGTGACTTGATCGTGTAGAGCTCTACATTAGGGGGACACAGAGGCCATTCTACCAGAGAATGGGTGACTATATAAGACCCCTGTGTGGACCCCCACATACTCCTCGTGTTGATCAATCCCTTTGCTGTGGCACGCATTCTACTTCCATTCGGAATCGTAGTGGTTTACTGAATGCGATGTGGCGTACAATGACTTGCGGGGCCAGCCGATGTACAAGTCAGTGTTTTATCCTCCCAGACGAATCTGGTACCAATTTACCGTCCTCGGAGGAGGGAGGCTTGGTTGGCCTGGGCGGGAGTCGACCCGGAGATTTGATGAAGCTGTCTAACAAGATAACACGGAGACAGGGTAATCACGCAGTTCACAAACGTCTTTATTTACTCCAAGTCCTTCAAACATAGTGCATTCAAATTGTACGATATGGTATAACAAAATAAATAAACTGTGGAGTGGATGTTCCGCATCCAAGTGCGAACCTTTATGAAAATATCAAATGTAAGGTGAGAGATTAACTTCCAGAACACGACAAAACGTTTACGTTACGCTGACAACACTATGACATAAATAACGGGCCACAGCTCAGATAGATCAACAACAATCCTTTCCGCAGAGAACCATTAGCGGCGCATCCTTTTCTCCGGTGGGTAGTCTCCAGGGCCTCCTGGCCCTCCAACCATTGGAGCACCGGGTCCCGGGCCGTTAGGTCCACCAGGTCCGAAAGGTCCAGGCTGTCCTGAGAATAAAGTAGTTCATAGCGAGTATATAGAGGATTACACAATTAATACAGCTCAAGAAATGATAACCCGTACGGGGCGACTTACTCTGCTGACCTGGCTGATCATTTTTGAAAATCTGTAATAGACGCTGTACTCCTTCCAACATGTTGCTTGTCTGAGGGCGCTGACTTCCAGGTTCTATAGATGAAAGTTGATGCTTTTTATAAAAACAGGAAAAATAAAAGATTCACCCCGTCCTCTAGGTCCTCCAGGCCCACCTGGTCCTCCAGGACCCCCAGGTCCTCCTTGTCCTGGCGGTGCTGGTCCTCCTGGTCCTCCAGGTCCTCCAGGTCCACCTGGTTGTCCATGCGGTCCACCTGGTTGTCCATGCTGTCCACCTGGTGGTCCATGCTGTCCACCTGGTTGTCCATGCGGTCCACCTGGTGGTCCATGCGGTCCACCAGGTCCTCCTGGTCCTCCTTGACCATACGGTGGGTATCCGCCCATTGGTGGTCCTCCCATCGGTTGCCCATATGGTCCTGCAAACGGAAGTACTGCTTTTTACGGAAAAGAGTACCAGAACAGAAAATTTCAGTTATAGACTTCAATACCTACCTGGCTGGCCGTACGGCGGCATTGGTCCACCATGTCCCATCATTCCTGGTGGTGGTCCACCAGCAGCCGCCCTCATGCCAAGGCGCTCACGTCGAGCAGCTTCAAGTCGTTCAAGTTCTTGTTGTCGGCGTTGCAGATCTAAATATAGAACATTAAGTAGCTTTTCTAGCTTCAACCGTGACAGCAACGGAATCGCCAATCCTCCTCATCTGACGAGAACGCCCTCGATAGTCAACTCACTGTCAGCTACTATCAAAGCTGGAGCCACAAAACCCAACCGAACATTAGTAACAGGGAGAATAACCCCTATCCAAAATGACCTCGCGTCAAGACGAACTAAAAATTACTAAAGGAGCGCATTGATGAGGAAATAATATCAGGAGCAAATAAGGGTGTTCGCGATACTAATGAACAATTGAGAAATCGCCTCCGTGCTCCTCAAGATAACATGTTCTTTATGTTTCTGTACAAGACAACTTAAATTTGGGAGTAGTAATCGACATGGAACAGAAATGAGCGAATGAGTTTCCGTGAAGAATTCAGAAATTTGGACTAGTATTCCCTCCCCTAGCAACGTGATTCTTGTACATGAGTATCTCTCAAAGCTGCAATTGGAAGTATCGCTCATCCCTGAGAAAGATGTTAATATTCGCACCTCCACTTTTACTTCGAACTGAATTAATTAAGCTATATGGACTTTAGTAGGAGATCGTGGTATAGCTTCACCTGCGGCTTGCTCTAATTCATTTAAATCTCATGAAGGCAAGTTTCAGTCGCGTCTAGTCCTCGGCAAATTAGTTTGTAAACAAAGCTGAACTTCACGCTTCGTAGATTCCACGAATCTTGATGAAAGACCACTACTGAAGAAACCTGGTCGTACTGAAGCTAGAAAACTACCCAGCACTGTCCTATCTAATTGCTCACGAAAGTTCATGGAAATAAGATTTGATTCCACAGAAAACCTTTGACCACATACTTTCTTAGTAGCGGCATATATGTACTATACCAAATGCCCATGACAACTGTGTTCTGCGTGCGGTACTAAACTCGCTCTGAGACTTGGCTAGAGAGATTAAGTGATTTGACGAATATGTGGTAACAAACCAGCTATACTCTACTGAGCCTTAGAAGGAAGCTTACCGCAACCTGAGCTCTATCCGTCACCCTATACTGTCTATTAGAGCATGCAAAAGAGGCATGGACTACTGAGGGAAAGAGAGCGATAATCAGAAGCAGAAATGTGACCAGATCAAGCTTCGATAGCACTGGCACGGCAGAAGGTCCCACAGTGGGTCACCTGACAGGGTTCTGATGCAAAGCAGCTCCACGGAAGAAGAAGAGGGGTCACGAGAACAATTTTGGAGCCTAAACCAGCAAATAGTGCAGCCATAGCATAAAGTTGCACCGCATCACTTAGTAGATATACCGAAACCAATTCTCCTAAAGTTTCTTCGAACAAGTCTCATTAATATCGTGCTATTCCCTGGGATCTGAGCAGTATTTTGTTGCAAGAGCGCATGGACGCAGGCAACACACGCAGATTTTTTTCCCCAGTAGCAGTTACATCTGCGGGCTGTACCCGCATATCCATTAGTTTCTTGCTCATTGTCTTATTAGAATCTTCAACAATAGAACCAAAAACGCAACTTTTCGCGCAAAAGAACCGCGGCGTTCAAGATGAAGGGTGCGCCTCACACTCCAGAAAATATTTCACATTAAAGTCTCTCAGATAGACGAAGTAGAGGTGCGAATAAATAACTGTATATGAATAATCAACTGTTTATCTTAGTGAAAGCACACAAGCATTTGTTTTTCTTCAGGCACCGCAGTGAAGTACAGTATAGTATGGAATTAGTACTGTAACGCGTAGTTACTTTACAACTACCAATTAACATAGCTGCCCAGAGACCAAGTGAATTATCTGTCTAGATAAATAGTGACAGATCCAACCTGTACTGCTGGTCATGCTTCAAAGAAACTTGAAAATCTCTATAGGATGACAACAAAAACACTATAGATCTTCTTTTTAGTAATTACGTGGCGATAGTGATGTTAGGAATTTGAGTCTCAATGCTATGCCAGTAGCCAGAACAGGAAGCAGCTCCCCAATGTTTGCACGCTAGCCAGAACTTTGATGTTGTTACTTAGCGTTTTTGTATTGCTTATTACTCAGACCCTGTGATAATTTCGCTGACCGCTTTCTCTTCACCTATTCTTTAAGTCTTTAGGTGTGAGCGCACTGCCCTACATTTCGCCGCTTGTAGTTACACCCCACCATGGGGTGATGGGCAATGGCAGGTGGCTTCTTAGGCAGTAGGATATTCTCAGATGGTTTTCCAGGGTACGGCACAGCATTCGATGGGGATTTTGGTCGAGCTTTTACGACCCCCCCCTTTTTCAGGGGCTGGTACGACCCCCCCCATGCTCGTACGATGGCTGACTGTGGTTGTGGTTTATACTCGGCGAAAAAGTTGTCGAGCGGGGGGTATGTAGTAGGCATGCGACGTACATCGTACGGGCGTACATAGTACCTATAACACAGAAAATTCATAAAACTCATGAAGTGAACCACGTAACTCCTAGCCAGAAATACGACCCCCCTCCCAACAACGACCAAATACGACCCCCCCCTCCAAAACGTCCGCAAAGCGAGAAAAATCAACTATAAAAATAATTTTTTTCCCAGCCCAAATACGACCCTTGTTTGATTATTTATGCCAAACGAGGTTGCAAGATTTACTTTTAGTGGCCTAAATGTTGGGCCCTCCCTTCTGCGGATGTGTCAATCTTGTCCTGTCGTTTTGTCAAACAGCAATTAGTATCCCGATGATACTGCTGAACGTTGCTCAGCGAATGCGAGCTAAGCGTTATGGAAAACAGCCAGGTGGTATAGAGGAAAAGCTCTAGGTAGATGAAGGCGTTCATTAGACTCTCGACATGCGTGTTGAGAAATTTAAGCATCATTCGGTATGAAATAAAGTGAAAAGTTAAAAGTTCAAAGTGGAAGTTCAAAATGTATTTTTTGTCTATACCGTGTGATGCGCTGACCAAGGAAAAACAAAGGTTTGTGCGCTGCACATGGGCAGTAGGAACAGGTTATTTCAGCCAGCAGCGACCAAACACATCCCCACAAGTAGATGTTGAGGATATATGAATCAGTGAGGAGTTTCAAAGCTTTAGATGAGAAATACTATCACCTTCACCATTATTTTGAACCTCGTCAGCAATGATAACAATCACCCTATGATGGATGAAACTTAAATTCACTAACCCTCACGAAGCATCTGAGCTTGATAGTCCTGATAAGCTAACTCCATGTCAGCTTCGAGTCGACGGCGTGCCTCCCTCAGCTCATCTTCCAGCTGTGCTCTACGCTGTTTCTCCATTTCATACAGCTCCTTCCACTTCATACCGTACACAAATTCGAAAGTGTTACGAGCAGGGAAACGAGGACCGTATTCACGCTCTCTGGATAAGTCCTTTATATGTCCAGTCTACCTATCACCTGCACATCTCAAAGCACAATTTCTTAGTCAGTCCATTACATCTATTACAATGTGCAGGTGAAAATCCGACTATTCGAACAAGAAAGATGGTACGACAGTGTCTATCAATTACTGACTACCATTGATGTAACTTTTCTTATCAAACTTGTTTAATCAGCATTCGACCGAGCTTTCACAGATTAGCTCGACTAAGGAATCGAGGGACGTATTAGGTTGCCCCATGAGTTCGCTGCAAAAATCAAACTTTATTTTATGAAAATTTGTTCTTAATTAACAATTATCAATCTTTCACCACAAGTCCCTCAACTTCTGCCTACGTGAAGGCAAGAACTCAATCCCACGTTCAAAGAAGAGCGAGGATCTGCGTCGAAGCATCATTCTAGGTCGCTCCTTTGGTACGCCCTAGGAACCTCTCTGAAAATGACCCGCTCATGCGCGGAGAAAGTGATAATCCGTAAGCGAACTTCAACTCGTGAACACCCGATTTCATAACGTGCCGATTTCGCCGGATGTGGGCAGTAAGACTGCGATATTCTCTCCATCTCTCCCATCTGGCGGTAGTACTCCTTCGCCTAACAACAGCGCTTTTCTGGAGAAGTTCCCAGTGAATGGCGCTTAACCGAATCCAGCAAATCGATCGCAACTACTTTAACGAGTGCAGACTCCGTGGGCGTTCGGCGTTTCTCGTTTTACATCATGTTCCAACTTTGTATTTTAACTAACTAACCCACTTCCTCCTCCACTTAACGTAACAGCATCATTCCTCATATTCCGTGACCACATTAGTCATCCAGTTGGAAGGAAGGCTCCGAGAAAGAAGATCAGCAACGCCACATTTGATCGAGCACTACTGCGCGCTGAAGTGGTACGGTACGAGTTGCCCAAATGTGGGAGTTTCTCACATCTGGTTGGTTTGGTGGCAATATTCGCCGAAACTTGTGAACTTCAACAGTCAGAATCGTCAAACCTGTATTTCGTTTGGGCTAATGACAGCACAACTTCAAAGCCATCATGCAATAAGTTGGCCTTACTATGAGCATATATTTCGATGGGCAACTTTCTTTCGTTAGGCACTCTTAAAGAAGACAGGCACGAGGAGCACTGTGATCTTAGGCGAGGTACTCGGTCGTAGTCGACCACAAAGACAGATGAATGCCACGTGCCAAAAACTCACAAGGTGCTCTACGTATATACATTTCATGGAAGTTTTCGGAACCAGACAGTAAAGTTATGTTACTTCTTGGAAAATGCCACGAACTCATGGGATAACCCAGTTAATAATAGATAGCATTCCTGCACTCCTGTAAGTTGCGAATAGCCTTAGAGCCCTAAAGTCGAGTGCCAACAAATTCTTTATATTTAACATGTCAACTTTTTTTAAAGCAGGGAGAGGCAGATTTAGTATATCAAGAACACTGCGAACGAAATGCTCACAGACTTGCTACTCTCGCAGTTATTTCCCCACTATCTTTTATGGGTGACATTTTTAGACTGGTTGCCAACACCCTACTACCCGATTTCCCCGTAATCCCTAGGAGGAGGGATCCAACGTGGTTATTGTCTCAGAGAAAACGAGCAGTCTAAATGTCAGGAATACAAGTCAGCAAAGGAAAAATAGTGTGTGGATAGGTCCTATGTCCAAATCTGTTCGCCAGTTTCAGACCATGCCCACCTCTCCTGCCTTTCTGTGGCTGCGAAACCCCAGATCTTTTATGACAAAGAGAAACTGGCAACTTTAACGTCACATCAAGGCGAGTAGAGCGGTTAAGGCAAGATAGCCAGCAGGAAAGGAATTGCGACCCAAATCACCACCCAGTTTCTTTGTTTACAAGATAGATATTTTTTTTCTAGATGCTCGCTTGCTCCAAGATAATAGCTGCTTACCCTTCGACCGAATACTGATTAAACAACAAATACTAGAGAGCACCACAAAATATCCTCCCCCATTCTAATGTCTGATCCAAAACTTACTTAATTAGCTGAGAAGTTCTAGGAATCATTCTCTCTGCTAGTCCGTCGTCCTCGTCTCTTGGCTCGAGAAGCTCGACGATTAGAGGTTTAGGGCTCCTAATACAAATTACAGTATGGATCCAGAAGTGAGGAATTTGGAAGCAACAACCAAATGTGATCAGCGAGATCAATGTGAAATTTTGCTGCGCAGTGATGTTCACAATTTCAGATCAAGATTGACACCTGGTGGTTTGCTCCCATACAGTTACCATAAGGTTAGTGGGGAAGTTCTGTCATATTTCTGAAATTAGTCTTCTAATAGAGAAAGCATATGATGGAAATGTTAGCATTGTTATTGCGGGCGTTCTCACCGAATGTTCAGCAGCTTATGGCTGCCATCGCTTCACAATGTGGAGTGACGCGACGCAAAGTTAGACATCATCGTCATGTTAGACATCATCATGTTGACTTCTGGTCGACCGTTGAAGCTTTTCTCGTTCATATGACGGGTTAGTTTGGAAGACAGTTAGCAAATGGGAGGAACAACCTGCAGTGGTAGAAAAGGAGAGCCATCCATCTCTATCGCATAAGGTTGGGCTCGATTCTTTGTATTGTCATGCTGAAGACAGACTGTCCGGATAAATTTCCTGCCCTATTCGACGATTCGCTTCAAATCTCTCAGTTGCTTGTTGAGAGACTGAATGGAGAATCAGCTTCCTCATCCAGTAATATCGCGAGCTGCAGCTCCTTCAAACTGAATTCACATGGACATCCAAACCCATCGTCTTTAAAAGGGAAGGCTTTAGATTTGAATCACTGGTGTTGTGGAAGATTGTCGGATAATTAAGGCATCGCCCTGATGCATCCCTTTCGCTTTGTCCTCGGAGCTCACATGCCGAGCCTGGGTGGTAGAAGAGAAGAATCTGAGGGGTTCGGCGGTCAGTGCTGATTAACGACCAATGTTTCTGCCATATAGCAAAAGAAGAAGCAGGAGACAAGCGAGTGGTACTAATAGAAAGAGAAACCTTGGGTATCACTGCTCACACAATCGATCACATCCCATCAGATTATGCGCAAGTAAAAGTTCAAAATAATATGACAGATCTTTCTCCACCAATCTCACGGTTTGCTATTTCATGGCCCATAGACTACTACTGCAACACTCCACCTGCTCTAGCTTTTTCCTAAACGTGACATTCGATGACATGACGGCACAAAGTCATTTGGAATTCCTTCCCCAAATACCGAATCAATTTGCATGATCTCGAAAGATCAACAAACTGTCGACAACATAGCTTCCGCCGAAGCAACAAAAGTTTAGCCTGCACCCCTTTCTAAATAAAAAATGAAGCGCGATGAAGCAAAAAAAAAACACGTGAGCTGAGACAGTAATATCATTTGACTGTGAACGCCCACCACTATCCAGAAAGTGCCCTGCTGTTTCTATTTGGATGCACAGCTCCGTGCGCCAAGGGACCTGATTCAAGAATGGCCATGGTCAAGGATTTTACGTCTCACACCAAACATGAAGCCCTTCTTTGCGGAACAACCCAATTCCTAATTCCGAACTCCGCAAACATGAAACCAACGGCTGATTTGAAACAGAATAAGTCACCGGCAGCTGAACTCCTATTCGAAGACATCACTTCGCCACTGTTTGATAGCTAGAATCTCACGGATTGCTCGACAGAGTGGCATCAGCCGAAGGAATGAATTCTGTAGAAGTTGCATTAGCCAGCAGGAGACGAGAAAGGCTAGCAAAGCCAACGAAGTTAGAGAGATGTTCATTCCGTGGAAAAAAAGACCTTTGTCGTCTTCCATTCTTTGCCTCCGATCTCTTACCCACACACCATTTATTTCCCCCTCACTTCGAGACTCGGCCAATTTCTCTACAATTCTACATATCAGAGGCCTAATCTAGCACTTGAAATTGCTACCTACTTGAATCAACTGGACGACTACACAACCACTCAACTACCTCTAGAAATTAAGCTGAAAAGAAATTCGTGTCAGACTGGGTGTTTTAATCCAAGAAAACAACCAATCATAGACACAAAGGTTATTAATGAACCGAGGATGGCCCAATTATTGTACTCCCGTAATATTGGTAAAGTTTTGCAGAGCCGATTGCGGTGAAAACGATCACAGGGGAAATTAAGAACATCCAAATACACTAACTCGTGGTAGCCAACGCACCAGCTGAAAACCTTGATCCTTTAAGACGCTTTCTCAAAAACATTTTCATGAAAATTTTACGGATCTGTTGTGAACGTCAAAGCCTCGCAAGAGGGTGAGCAAGACTAAACACTTTGTAACGCCGCTGATTCCGTGAAAGTCATTCATGAACTTACGCTGTCAACAAGAAGACTTTTTCCTTTATGGCGGCAATGGCGTCGTTGCATGACGGTTTGCGTTCAAACTCGACAATGCCCTCGCCGGTTGGGCGACCCTTCTCGTCGACAATGTGTACGGCACGCTCAACGTCACCAAAATGAGAGAATGCATGGTACAACATCTCATTTGATACGGTCGGTGAGAGCTCTTTTACACGCAGGGCAGCGCCATGAACGGCGAAGCGTACGCGAACCTGACGTCCGTGCATGACACGACCGTCGATCGCCTCCTTGGCACTTTCAGCATGAGCACGGGTGTCCTACGAAAACTACTCTTAAGCACATACATATTTACATCAAAGAAATGGAGAAATAAAGTGTTGCAAAAAAGAACGTTGCGCGCACAGTGCACCGGGCAAAAGCGGGTCCAACAGCGTTTCAGATAACAAATCCACATATAACCTAAATGGATTCCAACGGTGAAAATGAGAGTCCTTAAACCCGTAAACGACCATCGGTGAACGCGCTGTACCAGAGGAAGTCCTTGGAAGTAAAGGTAGCTGGGTAATTACTGGAAGCTACTCAATAATTCTGGCACGAAACTACATAGGAAACCAAGTGGGGACTTCATACTCGGAAATGGAAACCACTTTTGTTAAACAATGATGATCTCTAATTCGCATTGTATCGCTTGTACCTACATAAGTCTTTCAGTTACCCGGGCACTGTACGCAACAAATGAAGGAAGATTAAACGCTCTCGGCGCGCATTCACCATTCTTAAAAAAGCGAATCCTTTCCCGCTGAGATAGCACTCCGAAATATCGCCATGTGGTGCGAACAGCTCTTTGAGCTCTGCTTCCTTCACTTCATTGGGGAGGTTGCCAAGAAAAAGTCGACAACGACCGGTGAACTTCTTCTTGGGTAAATCGGTCATCAGCTCGGACTCGGAAAAGGCCATGCCTGAGAAGCTGGCTGGACCACGCATGGGGCCACGTTGCATACCGCCACCCATGCCTTGCATGCCACGCATGTCGCGCATGTCCGGACCTCCGCCATTGCTTGAACGATAATCACGGCGCGGTCGGCTGCTGAAATCAACCTATCCTAATAATAATAACGAGCGTCACAAAACAATCTTCCACATGCTTATGCCACAGTACTGAATAGTCAAAAAAAAACGTTCTGTTCTGCGAAAAGGGAGAATTCGCGAATCGGGGCAGCGCACGCAAAGAATAGTATTGCTCTGATCTGGAGAAAACGCGATTTCAGAAGAACAAAAAAGCGCGATTTGATTGAATGTACACCCACGGACTGGCCACTTGACCTCGCCTGCTGGCATTTCCGGAGAATGCACGAAGTGCAGGCGAGGTCAAGTGGCGAACGCACACTTCTACCAATTTACGCGTTCTCTGGAAACTAGTAAGCAGATTCCACCAAGTGCCATCTCTTACTTTAGCCCACAATCTCCCTATTCGCGGATTCTACAATTCGCAATGCATGAACGCGGTCTTGAAAGGGTACAGCACCGTTGGGAGAACCACAAGGGGCTAGTATTCGGTCGCTTGCGTGGGAGGTCCCCCCTAGTTAGTGGCGAAGTCAAGGGGCTACACAGCTACAGTCTACGAATGTTGGAATTAGTGACTTGTTGCCGACCCCCACCCCGCTCAACAAAGCTGAAGAACAGAAAAAATGTGAAAGGTAGGCTGGGATGTGAAGGCCATACTGTCGTAATATATTAAGTGAAGGGTCGTCGAACACCACCACTTAAGCTGTCCCGATGCTGCACCCTACTTCTTAATGTTGTGATATGGCAATAATAATAGCCATGAAGATGATTCCAACAAAGAAACAGAGAAAGAACGACGTATTTCATCGTGAGTTTGACCTCGATAAGTTCAACATTTTACGCAAAACCTATAATTAATCTAGATTGCTTCGCTCGAGTATAAGGATTCATGAGCACCTTAGCACACCAAAGTTTCGTGCCTCCCAAAAAAAACTTCATCACCTCATAGGGTAGAAGAAAAACGACCAACGATGAGCACGTGCTACACTTTTGAGCTTCACAAGATTGCTCACGTACTTTTTTACTGGCATGAATTACATCATCAGCTAGTCATAAAGGCATTCACACTCTCAGACTTTCAGAATAGGGTTTCACATAAAAAAGAACAACCATTCTTTTTGCTCTGGAAATGCAACCGGAACAGTCAGTATGTGAGGCTACGTTCATACTCCGCGTCAGCGTATGCCAGCATTTCGAGCGTATGTCAGCGAGTAGGAAAGTGTAGGTATCGATCTAGAGTATGCCAGCGTACAGCAGCTTTTCGAGCGACCAGGAAAGTATAGAAACGATCTGGCGTACTCCAGTGTACGCTAGATCGATATTTATACCTTCCAGTCGCTAGAAACGCTACCGCAGCTGGCATATGCCGACGTACGTTAGATCGATACCTATACTTTTCTAGTCGCCGGCGTAGCTCGAAACTATGCCCGTAGTAGGAACGCAGCCTGAGAAATATTCCATCTTCCGAGGTGTTGCCATGACTCCTTCGCGCGGAATATAGAAAACAGACGGCAATGGCATCCGAAATCGGAATCCTGTGAAAACACGGGATGGTATTTGGGCCCGGTTGAAGAACGTAACGCGTTAGCATGCTATATTCCAACAAGACACTACACATTTTGCTGATGGCACAGGACATGAATTGTCGAGCACGGCAAATGGGGAGTGATAGACATAAAGGATACCAGTAATTCCTCTTTATGCTATTCCGCTTGACTACGTTCTTAACTATTTCACTGAGATGAGATAGCCTGGGATAATCAACACAAATTTCACGTTTTCCGTCAAAATCCAATTTTAAATCCTATACAGCGGGGACTATAAGCGTACACAGCACATGCAATACCAACGATTTCATGCTCATTCTGACCTGAACACAGGTTACCACGTGATCTGAACCACGTTCAAAACGTCCGTGGCGAACCTACTCGTCTAGAGCTTACGTTTGTCGTTTTTCTTGCCAATCGCAAAAAAAAAACAGAAAACATGCCCGTGCACTCGCAGAAGTTTACGGGTGGCTGAAAATTAGAGTTTTCGTGTGCAGTCCCGAGAGTGCACACCGCCTCGAATGTGTTAAACGAACAATTATCATCTCACTTTAGAAATATTAGCTCCGGTCCCCGCACCCCAAAGTCAGCGATGACTGACATCCACACTGAAATTTTGAATTACCCGTAGTAGTGGGATTGTGCTGGATTTGAGGAGGGAACTGATATAAGGACCTCCAATTTTCCAGTTTTATTTCCATCGAATTAGAGCCTGTGATGGATGTTTTACAAATAGAGCCATCAATAGCTGGAAGGATCGTCCAACCATTGCCCTAGTGACTCTCAGCACGAGTCCAACGCGCTTCCACAACATGCAGTGGCCAGAGCACCAAAACAGCTGAAACTTTATCGTTAATTTAACTTTAGCATATCTAACAAGCATGGTCCTCCATGGACAGACTAAAAAAACCTTTTTCTCAGCTTAGAGCTTCGGAGTTGACTGTTGACAAAATGGAAATCAAATCAAGGAGCTCAGAAAACCTAGCAAATCTTACCCATGTTCCCAATTCAAGGTTGGCTCGAGAAATCAACAGTGGGCCTAATACACTACTCAAGTTATATATGATCCAACCCTGAATTTGGAGAACTTTAACACTGGGCAAGCATGCCATCTTTAGCAGCACGCTTGCTCGAACATAAACGCAAGTGGAACCATTAGAACACCACGCTATCTCTTCTAGATCCGTGGCCACTGACAACCCACTTCTTCCTTTTTTATTTTCCGCGATTATCTGGGCACCCTCTGTTTCGATACATTCAAGAGGAGCCAAGGTCAAGGCTAATCATTCGGAATCTCATTCCCCCCCCCACCCCATGATGAGCAAAAACACTACCCGTGAAGACAGCTTCTGTTCGGTCGAGAAGCAAAATTCAATGTGCAGTTCAGTTCGGTCCAGTGGCGCCTTATATTCCAAAACTCCGCCACTTAGCTCCGACGCACCAGAGCACCGTGATCAGTGGTCGGAAGCCAATCATAAGAAACGCACTGGCTGGCTTCTTCTTCGGACAAGTGTTATAATTGAGGAAGGAAAACGCCGCTCGCCCCATCCCCCCCTTTCGCTTGACCTTGTTGACGACCCCCTCGCTTGTTTTTTTTTGTGCCTAGGCCTCCCTTTCGAAACCGTGCGAACATAATCCAAAATACTTCCAAGACAGAGGTCCAGGTATTTGCCCCTTATTAGATTCCATAAACTTTTTTCTATATGTACACGTACTGAGTACGTGGTACTTCTCATTTTGTACAAACACTGCCGCTCTCAAGTTCAATTGGGCTAACCTAATAAAATAAGACAAAACACTACGTAACTACGTTGTTTCCTCTTTCTGGGAAACATTTTATGGTGCGCAACCCCCTCCTAGATTCAATGCACAAGTGAATGTTCGATCGATTCAATGTACAAGTGAATGTTCATTAACCTGACTAGTAACTACGGACCCTTTCATCGTGAAAGGCCAAAGCAATATTCTGATGAACCCTCATGGTCTCACAAAATATATTTATGATACCTGCTGCTACCCGCTCAGATAATGGCAATCAAAACCGGTACTGCTTGATTCACTACGCGATATGTCAACAAGTGTGACGATCGCAGTGTGACGTGAACAGTCGGATTCTTTTTGACAAATAATCCTTAACAAAACTAGCTGCGCGCGCACGCTATACCATCTCAGGGCACTTCTCAACCGAGAAGCCTCTCCTCTCTTTCCTTTTTTCTTCCTCCCTCCTTCTTTTCCTTCCTTTCTTCTCTGATCCCTCCTCTTTCCGTCTCGTGAAAATAACCCTGGACCCTCGCAGCGAGAGCACGTCTGGTTACAACAGCCCCCGTAACCCACGCTATACATTATGTACTCATTGAGGCTTTGAAGTACTGTCGTACATAGTGACCTTTCATTTTCAAGCATTGCAAAGCATTTCACAGGTGATTCGTAAGAATGCACGAAATAGTTCGGCGACGGAAGCTGTGGGACATTTCTGCTTCTGCTATTTCCCAAAAACGTGTCCAACCATCAAGTGAAGACCTATGAAATCTTGAGACGCCGCGAAATGGTACCAGCTAAAGTTTATAGAGACAACCTGTGTTGTGAATCTTTTAAACACCATACATCGTGAAGCATCGACGAGCTTGCTTCAGTTTCACAAGAGCCCACAAGTTCCACCGGAGTGACACTTGTGAAACAACGAAACTGCAAAATGGAACTCGCCCAAAATGCGTCTCTTCAGCCCTAGACACTTGTACAGTTTCATTTCCACAATCCACACTCTGAAATGCGTGACAGCTGGTAAGAATTACGACTGAAGAAGGTTGATGCTGAGACTGGCCACATTCAAACAATGCACAGTTGATCAGCTGCTACAGCTGTGGCAATTCTGAGGATGTGTATAGCGCAATTCAATTTAGGCGATTGCTTTTAATCAATCCGTTAAAAGTCTTACGACCTGATACTATTTAGCATTAATTTTTATATTTGCTCTTCATCTTGGTTTAAGAAAGATCACCAATTGACCTAACACCCGATTAATTGTCAAGCAACTACATTACAGGTACACTGTGAAAGCAACTAGCCCGCAAGGAGGGTTCATTCATCGCAACATCTAAAAGCAGTCGCACAGTCCAGGTGTGGGTTGTCGAGTAAACTCAAAATCATGCAGAGGTCGTCTAAAATACCAAGCCACACGAACGACTAGGTATGTCGCCAAGAAATATCCTGCCGCACGCAAGGTTCAGCAGGATAATGAGCATAAGTTGAAAGTATTCCAAAAATACTACGTTTCACCAGTTGAACGTGAATACTAACTCCAGGTAAATTATGCCACTCATTGCAGTTGCTATCACAAACGCTTGCCTTACCCCCATTATCTCCGTCTCCACGTTCAGGCTGCGTTCGTACCCGACGATTACGCCGTATTAATTAAGAGCTATGCTACGAAGATGGAATACATGAAGATCTGACGTAATCGACGTTTTCAGCAACGAAGGACTTTACGTCGATTGAGTCGGACCTTACGCGCGCTCCGTAATCCTCGAAAACTTCAGCGACATAATCGCAAGGCATTAGAGCGTCCTCAGCGAACGTTTTGAATGAACTGCAGCGTTGGTTACTCGCAAAACAGCGTGAAGTTGCCAGGTGACTTCCGGATACACAGTCGTTCTCAACGTCAAGAACTCGCTCGAGGTGAAGCAGGTGTAGGTGTGTGGCGCACATAGATCATCGCCTCATAGATACGAATGCCACTCCTTATAGTTCCCCCCCCACTCTCATACAGACGCTTTTATCCAACCCCGCTTGCGCATTCGAAAGATCGCCAATTCAAGAATGAGGCGAAACTTCCGCTGAAACCACTTGCCCAACAGCGGGAAATGATACGTGCTGCACACCCATTTACTGCTTCTGGAAACCCCATTAATTTTATGGAAAAGGCACGGCTCTGATAACCATTCTGAAGAGACCAAAACAAAAAAAAATCCGGAGTGATGGACCAGAAGTAGTTGAAACCGCAGGCATTTCCTAAGACGTCCTAAAATTCGCTACAACAGAAAAAAAACTGGTTAAATTTTCGTACCCTTCATCGTCGTCACGTCCACTCCTACGTCTATCATCGGGGCGACGATCATCACGCCCTGGTCCGCCACCATTGGGACCTCCTCCTCCTCCACCACCTGATTTGCGATCGTTGTTGTTCCGAGACATTACGTAATTCTGAAATGGATGCTATCGTGACGAATAGTTTTGAAAGACTTCGCGTAGAGAATCGAGATCGATCGGAAAGCTCAGAAAGGCTGCATTCATGCTTCGCAATGGGAGAATCAAGACTCGATTCCAGGGGAAATTCTCGTCAATGTTGCGTACAAGTGCTTGTCGATTCCGGTCGCTACTTGCTTGGATGAATATTATGAAAATAGGCCATTCGACGTTTCGGCAAAAAGCGCGTTCCTCAAAAGCTGAACCGCTGGTGACCGAAGACAATCGATACCTACGCATTG